GACGTCTCCAAGATCATGTATATTTTCTGTGCAAAAGCACAGAACTGAAGGAATTCCTGCAGTTCCCAAGCTGGAACTGCTTTGAATTCACCCACAGCACAGATTAAGATTTTTAACTGTGAAACATCTATCTAAGCAGTACGTGATGAGAAATATACTGCTCCTAGGGCAACAGAAGAGCCCAGCTCAGCTTTTGTCACAAGCTGCAGATGAGGAATCTTGCGGCATATCCTTGGTCTCCTCAACTGGCAGATAGTTGAAATATTGGTCCTTCAGTACAGCTCTGGGAAACGTAGTCTTCTGTTCACTACTTGCTGAGAAGGAACTTGAGAAATTTGTTGCGCTATGTCTTGTTAAAGGTGTGGTCTCGTTGCATAATTTATCTTCTACCCTTTCTATGTTTTAGCTTCTGAAGTTTCCTGGAGCGCTGTGGCCCCTCCCTCCGCAGAATGGACCCTGTCGTTCTCAGTTACATGGACAGTTTGCTAAGGCAGTCAGATGTTGCCTTGCTGGACCCCCCAAGCTGGCTTAACGATCACATCATTGGGTTTGCCTTCGAGTACTTTGCCAGTGACCAGTTCCAAGAATTTTCTGATCAGGTGTGTTTTATTGGTCCCGAAGTGGCTCAGTTCATTAAATGTGCCACTAGTCAGGAAGAAGTGGCCATGTTCCTTCAACCACTAGACCTTCTCCACAAGGAGCTGGTGTTCTTGCCTGTCAATGATAACTCCAACCAGGCTGCTGGAGGCACCCACTGGAGCTTACTGGTTTACTTTAGGGACAAAAAGTACTTCGCCCATTATGATTCCCACAGTAAGAGCAACTCTGTCCATGCCAAGCAAGTGGCAGGGAAGCTGGAGGCCTTCTTGGGCAAAAAAGGGGGCAAAGCAACCTTCATAGAGGAGAAAGCGCCTGCCCAGCAGAACAGCTATGACTGTGGGATGTATGTGATTTGTAACGCAGAGGCTCTGTGTCAGGGATACTTCAGGGGACGTCAGGAGCCTTTGCTGCAGCTCCTCACCCCTTCCTACATCACGCAGAAGAGAGCAGAGTGGAAAGCCCTCATTACTAAACTTGCACAGAAGTGACCTGGCTGCAGTCCCCACCCCAGCCCTGAACGATTGCCTTTCCTGTCCGCAAGTCAGCACCCCCAGTGCCTGAGGGAGATGCCCATGCCCAGGATTTTCCCAAAGAAGAATGTAACCCCTCCAGCATGGCTACACCCCTGCAAGTATCCTCCTTGGAAAGCCTTAGTCTCCTCTAGAAATCACTGGCCTTTGAACTTCGGGCCAGTAAAGTCACTTTGCCCTCAATGAAATCTTCCTCTCAAAGGTGATTTTTACACTTCTTGCTGTGGCAAAATGGATTGCTAAAGATCCTTCTCCACCTCTGCCCAGCAGGCAACACACCCTCACATTAGGTGGGGCTTTAATTTGCTGTGGGCATTGCTGAACTAAACCAGGTTTGGCCAAGTCCTTTAAAACCAAGCCCCAAATGCTTTATAATGGACATTTCTAGTCTGTGCCTAATGGTATTGTGAACATATAGGATTTAGCAGCGAGGCGGGAGTCACAGCTGAAAATTTGATGCCGAGCTATTTATAAAAAAACAATGAGAATCAAAAAGGAAGGTTATGCTTAATTAAAGAATGGGGCAAAAATCTTTCTTCTTCACGTAGGTTTTTCTAGGCTGTATGAAGGTAGCTCTTCCTTCCCCACCCCTGCTTGCTCTTATTACAAATTAAAGTCCGACTCTCTGAACCAGTGGAAGATTTAATGGGGAACTGGGAAAACAAACCCTAAGAAGGGAAACTTAATTGAGATGGAAAGTGACATTCATTCTTTGAAGTTTTTTTCATTACAATTTTAGGTCATCTCCATTCTGATGTGGGGGGAGGTGTTCCTCAGCATTCCCCAACTCTCGTTATCATTTGCTACGCTTAGAATATATGAGACAGTTGCTGCTTCCCCTAGCGCAAAAACAGATCTTATATTCTGAAGATGAAAAACATACCAAGGAGAACAAAGAAACAGAATTTGAGGTATAAAAGCCAAAGATAACTGCAGTATCCTTGAAGCTCAAATGTTAGTCCTGAATATACTTGTCTGCCTCATGATTGGCCTATTCAAAACATACTTTTCCTCCAGTGCTGGATTATGGCTGGGATCTAAGAGCCGATCCTCTTTTCAGAAGACAGGATTGGCAGTGGAAAAAAATGAGATGTCATTGCAGGATAAGAAATAATCTATAACCTCACGAGAGACAAGGAGCCAGTTGCTTAGGCGGTGTCTAGCAGAATAACCACACCTCTGTATGCCAACCAGATCAGTGAAATGCAGGTTAAAAATAACTCTCAAAAAGACGGAGGAATTATTTTTAACCTGGATCTCTTCACTGATCCCACTTACAGCCCAGCCCCACAAATGTTTGTACCAGCACAACAAAGAGGATGGCCAACTGTAGCGTGGGGCAGGAATGTCCCAAATTTGCCTTGTTGCTAAGGGAAAGGTAAGTAGCTGAAGCCTCGCAGACCCTTCCAAAACGCCCAAGCAAAGGCACACGGACTCATGGTGCGGGGAAACAAGGGTCAGCGTCATTGCTGCCCTTCCTGGACCCCCCCAGAAGGAGCAGCCGGGGATCCAGGGCTCCCCCAGAGCTACTGGCCCTCCAGCCTTTCAGCTCCGTGGACGATCGTTCCCACTGGTCTGATCGAGCTGAAAAACCTGACCGTTGTCTGAAATAAGATCCAATCACTTGCTAAAGGGGATTGCCTTCTGAGTGGGGGGGCCTGTATGGCTTAGCCAGAGCAGCTCATGCGCTTCACTGCTGTTAAGGAGGTGGCTTTGCTCCCGGTTCCTCCGGATTGGGCATGCTCTTACCGAGGTGTAACACAGCCGCACCCCCTCTGTTTGCCCTGAGGCACTGAAATGCAGACAATCACTTGTAGTAGACGTTGCAGATTAGCTGTTCATTTATACAAACAAATACTTCTGTCGGTGGTGTGATAGCATTAACTCCCGCCTCCTCCCTTCCCCCCCAAGAGGGACAACACGCTTATCCATCCGGAGTTGCTATGATGGTGTCGAGCAGGAGAAGGGGATGAAGGAGTAATTCCTTCGGGGTCCCCTTCTTCCCAGTGACACCTGTTGCCTAGAACTGAGAATAAAACTTAAACCAAACCACTTACTTTACTGAACCGGCTCTTCTTTTGAGACGTGGCGTGCGTTGTAACGGAGAGGTGGCTCTTGCTGCCCGCGTCGACCCCACGGCACCGTGGGTTCCTGTTACGTGATGGTATTGCATTTGCTTGACTCGCAAGCTATACCATGACTCGCTGGCAGATTCTTCCTCCATTCGGGCCCCTCCGGGAGCAGAGCTGTACAGCACAGAGCAGGACCCAGCCTCAGGTCTCACATCAGCTTTGTGATCACGCTGCTCCCAGCAACTAGTAAACAGTGGGTTGAGGAGTCGGCCTTACAGAGCAAGCGAGTCAGCGAGCACAGAAACGCTCGCTAGAGCTTTGTGCAACAGGAAGGAGACCATACCTTCTGGTTTAGTGTCTCCATCATGTTTTTAGGGGTGGCTGTGGAGCAGCATGGGCCAGGGAGGTAGGAAGTCCTAAGAGGAAGGTCAGTGGGACTGAGGGAGCATCGGGGTAGGTAAGGGCAGGAGGTGGCGGAAGGAAGCACGTGGGGTGGGGAGAGGGAGAGCGAGAGGGTCTTACAAAGAGATAGGTACCAGGGAGACTGTTTCAGAGGGCAAAAATCACATTCACATCCCAGGCAGATGCCACCCCTCGGGCCAGGCACCCGCCCCACGCCTCTGTGCTGTCAGCTGCTGCAGGCGCCTCGTCGCTGGCCTGCTCCAGGGGCCTGTGGACGAGGAAGGGGCTGCCAGGGAGAGCGAGGTGAGCAAGAGGGAGCAACCAAGGAAGTTTTACACCCCGGTGGCTTTCACGTGGCATTTCTTTACACAAAGAAAAGCAAATAGGTTCAAACAGTAAGGGCGTCACCTGGCTCCGAGAGAATACACACGCACAGAGGAACAGGCGAATGCTGTCTCAGAAACAAAGCTGCGCGCTGTGACCAGCTCCCAGCAGGCAGGAGACCCCAAACCAGACCAGGCTACTGACCCTTTAGCTCCTGCAGGGCCGAGTTAGAAATCGGCAGCCACCGGCATCGGCTGACCTGGCAGCC